TCAGAGGCCTCCCTCTGCTAGCTTGACAGCTACAACACCTCCCTGCATCGTTTCAGAGACCACTTTTAGAAATGTCTTTTTCCTCTAGCTTCTGGGAGCTCGGATGCAAAACAAGGGCAATTTCCCCCTTTTTTTTTTGAGGCAACAGCTTCCAGAATCCTTCAACTGCCAGGCTTCCGAGATCAGCAGTCCAAAAAACAAAACATTTCCGAGCCCTGTTCAGACTCATCAGCTCATTGGGGGGGGGGGGGCTGCACAGCCTTTCCTACTTACTGAAGTAGCCAAGGCAGATCAGGCCTGAACCTGCACAAACAGGTCGGAGAGACTGCCGAACGCTTTCCTCCCTGGAAGCAAACCCAGCCCTGGATGGCTGCTGTGACGAGAGTAACCTTTCACAGAGGATGCCGAGCCCAGCATTGGGTGTAAGGCTGGTCCTCCTCCTCCTCCTAATTCATCGGCACTCATATAACTGTTGGAAATATATTTTGAGGGCTAGAAATGGTTGGCTTGTAGCTCCGGTCACGTTTTATCCACCAAAGCCAAGCCAATCCAACCAGCTCCCACCTTTTACTAAGGTATGGATTCTGTCAATTGGGATCCCTCGGTTCAGGCTTAGGAGCCCTCACTTTCGGAGTCTGGCAGGTTCATGAAATTCGAGGACTACCTCCAGACACCAAGAATGGACCCTGCCACGGAAGAAGCTTTTCCTTTCTCTCCATACAAGGCCGTCTCCCTGACATTTGCTTGCTGCAGCCCTTCCCAGTGCTATTTGGAGTAGAGAAGGGTCTCTCCCCCCTGAAGCCCATCTTTCACTCCCTGAAGCATCCCTCCAATACCCTCTGTAAATAGTACCAAGTAGGTAACCATGATATGAAGAGGAGGAAGCAGGAACAACCTTTAACTGTGGTTACTGCAGGCACTTTTTAACTTTCTTACTGCATGCACTTTCTGCTTCCCTGGATGGCTTATACCAGCTCCTTGAAGTTTGGCCTGGTTCTAGAAAGCTGCTTGTCTTAAAACTTTCCCAGCAAATGGAGACCAAGCCTGCATTTCCCCCACTAACGCTAACTTTCCCCCCCAACACCTCTCCACCACGGATACAGCTGCTGGTAGAGACACGGATGTCCTGAGGGAAACAAAATATACAATATACAAGCTGGTATATGTGTATATAGGTCAGGAGAAACCTTAATGCAAAGGTAGAGGATGGATGTGGATGGAGGCATGGTTTGGTCTGACGCCCCGAAAACAGGGCCAGGTGGTTAGGTAAAAAAGAAAACAGGGTATATGTGATTGTGTGTGCGTGGACATAGTGGATGATCGATGAAGTGGGTCACGCAGGGCTGCTTCGTTCTGCCGGTCTTTGAAGGAGGGGCAAAAAAAGAGGCAAAGTGGGGAGAAGTGAGGATTTGCCTTTTATTTCCTGGCATCATGTCTAGCCGCCTTAGGAGGACGGGAATCCCAGGCAGGCGAGCGAGCAGGCTGGTGGAGGAGGGAGAGCAGGATCCCCCCATTCCTCTTCCGCCCACTCAGCTGGTTCCTCTGCTGGCTGTAGAGGAAGGGGGTCCCGGCCGTTTCTGCCCTTCCTCCACCAGCCCACTTTGGGGAGGCAACTTTAGAAAGTGGCAAGCTAGCCACTTGTGTGGCTTTATTTACAAGGGAGAAGAAGAACACAGTCCCCCACTTGCGGGATTGGTCGGCTCACAGAACACACACCTGGTGCTTAAAGAGGATCTGCCCTTTGCTCCATGGGTCTGCATGGGAGGGGGTGGCCGTGGGGAGAGGCTGGGCTGCACCACCTCCAAACGCAGATGGGGGCTTGCCAAGGAAACAGAATTCCTTGTACCAAAAGAAAATAAAGCAAAAAAAAAAAAAAAGAAAAAAAAAAAAAAAGAATAAAGGAGAAAGCGACGGGAAGTTGAAAAAAAAAAAAAAAATCCTGAAAAAAAAAAAAAAAAAAAAAAAAAAAAAAAAAAAAAAAAAAAAAAAAAAAGGATTCAAGGAGAAGGCTAGGTCAGATGTGATATGCTTCTTCTCCAAAAATGCTAGTTTTTATTTATCCAATTTTGCAGGTTGGGTGGAGTGGGGGAGGCACATTCATTCCACATAAGCTGCTGCTTCCCCTCCCGCCTCCAGTGTGAAATGGTACAGCCTAGTCTGGGGTTGCAACCTGGGGGATGGGTTAGAAAAGGGGGGAGAGGGAGAAAAGTCAGCCAACCTAGATGACTGGGGCAAAATAAAATAAAATAGACCTCTAGTCCTTTCCCCAAGCTACTCTTACACCACATGCTTAGTTTCAGGGGAAGAGAACAAGAACCGATCCAGATGTTTTTGGCCTGCACCATTTCTGCATGATGGCCATGATGGTTTAGGGCTCAGCTGAACTCTCCAACATCTGGAGAGCGCCAGGCTGCTTACTCCCTTCCTTCTCCAGGGGCTCATTTGAGAAGTAAGCCTATTGCTCCCTGCACTGACTAGGAGAAGCGGACAAGACAGGAACAAGATCAGGAGAGACGGAAAGTTACCTTTCAGGATCCCCGTGGCCGCACGGTTACTAGTCATGATGGCCAAAGGATCACGCAGATCAAAAAAAGCAATCTTTCTCATTTCTGAAGGCGAAAGCCACAGACAGAACAAGGGAGCAGAATCTCCATCTAGGAGCTTCCCTCCCCATTCAACGCTGGGAGGTTAGCAGGCCTTGGAATGTAAATAAATGGAGTGGGAGGGGGGGAGTGAGGGGCCAGGTGTTCTTGCAGGGCAGTTCCCATCAGCCCCAGCCAACACAGCCGATGGCGTAGCATGATGGGAGCTGCCATCCAGCAACCTCTGGAGGGCCCCCTATCCCCCAGGCCTGCTGCCGGGGAACTCGGATGGAGAAAGAGTGAAGGGCTTTTACATAATGGCTCGATGCAATGAAGAGCCAGCTGCATGGGCTATAGAGGGACAGGCTCTGCAAGGGAGGAGTTTTTTCTTTCTGGGCTTGGAAATGCACACGGAGAGGGGAACACAATTTCTCTCCACATCCCCCCCCCAGGGCTTGGGGTTTGCTCCAGATCCAGGCTGCAGGATCCCAAGTGCTGCCGTCGACCCCAAAACAAGGGCTGAGCCCCTGCCTGATGGCAGCTGCTTCTCCTTGCCCTACCAAGCCACGCAACAGTTCCAAGTATTTTGTTTATGTTGCTTTTTAAAAACATCCGCCAGCTTCAGAATCTCCTAGAAATGGAGGCACCGCTTAGTCTCACTGGCTACACCGCCACTGTCACGGATGGGAGAACAGGACAAGAAGAGGTTGGCTTTGCTCGGGGGGGCCCTTTGGCGACTCTGTGGCAGCACCAGCGCCGGGCCGTGGGCCCTCGGGCTGACGCGGATTCTCCCCGGCGGACACTGGCTCCCGACTACCATAGCTGCCCCACAGAAACCCCACCAAAGCTTCTGTAATCCTTTCGTCAAGGCAGCATCATCGTGTTCCCCGCTGCTTAACTGGCTTGCCTCAAATGCGGTGCTGGAGGAGAGCTTTGTGGCTACCCTTAGGCTGATGGAAAGATGGACGAACGGGGGTGGCCCTTGATCAAATCAAGCCTGAACTCTCTCCGGAGGGCTGTCCTACTCATGAGAAGGCAGGATTCTCTGGAAAAGGCCACAATGCTGGGAAAGATGGAAAGCAGCAGGAAAAGAGGAGGAAGACCCCGAATACGAGATGGATTGACGCCCCTAAAGGAAGCCAGAGGCGAGCATTTACAAGAGCAGTTGGGGGTAGGACATTTTGGAGCTGCCTCATTCGTAGGGTTGCCCATGGGTCAGAGGCCACTTGACGGCACATGACAAATGCTACACGTGCGCTGCAGCCTGAGCATCAAGGGCCACATGGTTTAGTAGTGTAAAACTCTCAGTTCCTCGAGATCAATTTGTCTTCCAATTCCCAACTGCCTTCGCCTACACAGAAAACGGGAAGAGGAGAGGGTGGGAGTTGCAGCCCCCCAAAATTAAGGGTGGACCCTAACCGCCCACCCTGGCTGGAGAGGAAAAGGTCGGGGGGGGGCTGAAGGAGCTGGGTGCAGGCAGGAAGTACCTAGCTAGAGGCGTGTGTGCGTGTGTCTCTCTCTTGAGAGAGCACGTGTTGTTCCGCTTCTCTTGATGTGTTTTGTGCAGCCCAGCAAGTGAGAAAGCAGGGCTTGGGCCAGACATGGATGTGGGAAAGCAATTTCTGCTCTTCCAGCAGAGAAGGCCATCCATCTGTGGGAACACTTCAGCTCTGGATTGCTGGCACGGAGAGGAAGGAGACGATGAAAAGGCCTCCAAAAGGCCAGTTCTTGGGTTGCACTGGTTCTGACCAGGTGTATGGGTTAGCTTGGTTGCAACGTTCTTTAGAATGAGAAAACTCCTAACGCAGAGAAAACCAGCAAGTCAGAGAGGGTTCTGGGTCAGAGCCTGGCCATAACGTGTTAGAACAAACAATGTTATTTGCCACGTGTTAATTGTGTGTGTGCGTGTACATACGTGTGTGTGAGAGAAGAGGACAACAATACTAGTTTCACAAAATAATGTTAACAGTTTCATTTTTTGTTTTCATAATAAGCAGACTCAGACTTTTCTAAAGAAGTTTTTAAAGTTCTAAAAAACGGACATACCTCAGTTACTGGGGGTGAAGATACCGGTATTTTTCCTCTCCCCTTCCTTTGCAATAAGAGCATTCGAAAATGCAAGCCCCCACCTTGTAGCCCCCGCCCGGCATTTCCAGGGACAATTTTAACCACCAAAGTCCTACCCAAGCCAAGAGCATCTATGGAGCTGAAGGAACGGAGAGTTCGGTGGGTTATTTAAGCCTCCTGAGGAGAAAGCTTCTGGGAGGAGGGAAGACCAGCTTTGCAATCTCATGGTGGCAGTGGCTGCACATATACAGCGCCCCAAATTCCTGCCCCCACCCCTTCACCCAGACCCCCAAGTGTGACACGTCAATGATGCTGATCTGCCTAGCTTTAACTCCCCCTCCTCTCCCTGCACTTACCTATCTTTGCCGTTCTGGATGGAGTTCTGGCCCAGGCTGGCGCGGTCCAGCATGGGTGAATTGCGGCTTCGGTTTGTGCTGGTTGAGAGGACGCTGTTCTGCAGAAGGCAGAAACATCAGGTGAGCGGCAGGCCAAGCCCCAGGAAAGGGAAAAAAAATGGAGGGGAAGAGGCTCCAAACTGTTGCTTCTGGAAGGGCACTGGGTGGGGTAGCCTAGGCAGCTGCTGGGGACAACGGACTGGCAAGGAAGGGGTCTTGAAGACCACATGCCCTCTTAACGGCACAGCCTTGCAGCCATCAAACTCCTTTATGAGTTCTTGGAATCATCACCAGCTCCCCACCCCTCACCCCGACTAAATCACATGTTCTCCTTGATCTGAAAGCTTTTCGGCCTGACTGGTATTCACTGGTTCTTAACCTTGGGTTACTCAGGAGTTTTGGACTGCAACTCCCAGAAGCCTTCACCACCAACTGTGCTGGCTGGGGTTTCTGGGAGTTGCAGTTCAAAAACATCTGAGTAACAAAGGTTAAGAACCACTGTCCTAGATCAAGCCGTTCCTGGCTCAGCACCTCCTGATGACTGTGGGGGGAAAAGACCACATCTCCTTTTTATGAGCCTAGTAAAAGGTAAAAGTTCCCCTTGACATTGAGTCCAGTCGTGTCCGACTCTAGGCAGCAGTGCCAAGCCACAGAACAAGCATTTTGTCCGAAGACAGTTTCCGTGGTCACGTGGCCAGTGCGACTAGACACGGAACCCCGTGACCTTTAAACCGAGGTGGTACCTATTTATCTACTCGCATTTACATGCTTTCAAACTGCTAGGTTGGCGGGAGCTGGGACAAATGACCGGGGCTCCCTCCCTTGCATGGATTCAATCTTACGCCTGCTGGTCTTCTGATCTTGCAGCACAGAGGCTTCTGCGGTTTAACCTGCAGCGCCACCACATCCCTATTTTATGAGCCTAACTGGGTATAAAAGTTCATCAGGAGAGGCTTGCTCTTCAGGCAGGCCATCTTCTAAAGTTTGTTGTGGGTTTTTTTGGGCTCTTTGGCTGTGTTCTGAAGGTTGTTCTTCCTAACTTTTCGCCAGCTTCTGTGGCCGGCATCTTCAGAGGACAGCACTCTGTCCTCT